AAGAAACAAGGAAGTTTGGAGGAGGGATCGGTTTAGGAAAAATATAATGAGCTCTTTTTAAAGACATACTGGGTTTGAGATACATCCAGGTAGAGATGTACAGCAGGAAGTTGGTCATGTGTAAGTGTCTTGCATCAAGATGATAATTGAACACAAGGGAGCCAGTGAGGTCACCAAGAGAAAGAGTATAAAGGGTATGGAGAAGGAGCAATTAAATAATTTTGAGAAGAAAGAGAAAGCAAGGGGAGGGAAATGTCCAGAAAGAGTCAAAGACTACAGTGTCAGATACTATAGGGAGAACCTGTGGTAGGGAGAACTGAGAAAAGACCAGATATTTAGCACTAAGAAATTGTTGGTAACCTTGAAGAGAACAGCTTTAGTTAAAGTGGCAGGTGTGAATAAGGAAATGGCTGTCTGAGAAAAACAACAATCACTTAATTAATTTTAGTTAGAGGTTGGAGGGTCTTCTTTCTCAATGACCACTTCCTACTTTCAAACACAAATACCTTTCTTATTTTAAGTGACTGATATCAAAACACTAGGATAGTTTTCCTTTCCTGTTCCTTTCCCCCTTTCCCTAATCTAAATAAATAGAATCTCCAATGATGGCTCTAGGAATTTGGCGGTGAAAAGAAGATCTGTAGTACAGTAGTTGGAGGAGCTGACAAGGTCAAGTAAAGGCCCTTTAAGGAAGAGACCCGGGCATTTAGCCCAGGAAGAACCAGTGAATGAGGACAGATTAAAGATAAGAGAAAGAATGATCTAGGGAGTGATTTCCCATAATTGAGTGGAGGGGATGGTATTGAGAAAACAAGTAGAGGGGTAGTATTTGATAAGGACCACCAGAGACTTGAGTAGAGGAGGAGAGAATGGGGGATGAGGAAAGAAAAAACAGTGCTGGATTTAAACTCAAAAGACTTGGATTTGAGTTCTATTTCTGCGTGACCTGGACCAAATCAAATAACTTATCTAGGCCTCTATTTCCTTATCTATAAAATGAAGGGGCTAGATTAGATTATTTTTAAAGTCCTTTCCCCCTCAAAATCTGTGATTTTATTTGTCAAAAGTTTTTAGTGCCAGGTTAAACAGTGTATATCATACCAGCCCTTGGCTTGGTAAATATTTTTTACTTTCTGTAGTTTATTCTTCTTGGCAATTTTATCACAAATGAATTGTGGATTTTTATCAATCTTTTTTTCTCTACTAATCATGTGATGGGTCTTTTGGTTTTTAAAAGGTTGCCTTTCTAGGATTATTATTATTCTCCTTCAGGCATTCTATTCTTCAGCCAAGCTGGCCTGCTTGCTGTCATTCCCCATGCATATCAGTCCGTTTCCCCATCTCTGTACCTTTGCACAGCTTGTCTTCCCATTCCTGGAATGCTCTCCCTTTTTACTTCTGCCCCTTGGACCCTCTGGATCCCTTCTAGGTTCTAGCTCAAGTACCATCTCTTATGTTAGTGCCCTTCCCCAATCACTGCTGTACTTTTTATTATGTATCCTATACTTACTTAGCTATAAACATATAGTATTACCCAAAATAACATAAGTTTCTTGAGGGCAGCTACTGTATCACTTTTGTCTTTGTATTCCCTGTGCCCAACATAGTGCCAGGTACATAACTGGCACTTAATAAATGCTTGTTTATTGATCTTTCTGATTTGTTTTTTCACCAAGTCAGTGGTAGATTTGGTAGATTTTTTTCAATTTGTAGCTTTATGACTTCTGCTTGTATTATTTAATTATAATTTTATTACATTGTGGTCTGAAAATACAGGATGCATATTTCTGCCTTTCTAAATGTAGAACTTCTTTTTGACCACTTGTTATGGAATTAATATTAATGAGCATTCCATGTGTATTTGAAAAAAAACATCCTCCCAGCTTCTCCCATTTTATTTTTTACCATAGAGCTGTTAATTACAGGTTAAGTAGTGCCAAGCTTTTAAAAATAGTTTCTTTTTTATTTTTATGAACTTAACCAACATTAATGAATATGATAATTTCCTTATGCAAAGAGCAGAAAAAAGGGCTACAGAAGATAACATTATATATAGCTTGAGGTTTTTCATGGTTAGTATTTGTTAGCTTTAACTTGGGTGGTTCTAACATTACTTTGCTTGTCTGAGTCCCCCTCTAAACTTCCTTCAGCTTTTTTCTGTGTATTTTTTAAATGTTTTGTTTTTCTTTTTCATTTGGTATCAGTATTACTATCTCTACCATTGTTCCATATAACTTTGTCACTATACCCTCCAAAATAAAAACCTTCCTTTGTAACAAATAAGTACAATGGAGCAAAACAATCTACTCATTGGTTATGTCTGAAAATATATATCTCATGCTGCACTTCTAGTCTAGGACCTTTCTGACAAAAGGTGGCAAACATGATTTATCATCACCAAAGCTATGAGGTTAACTTTTAATGACCAAATCTAATAGCCCTTTCTCAGTCCTCATCCTTTTGTACTTTTTGAACAGCCATTGACACTATTGATCACCCTCTTTTCTTTGATAAGCTCTTCTCTTGCTCTCCTCTTCTCTGCCTAGCCACTCTTCAATCTCCTTTGCTGGATTTTCATCCTGGTCACACCCATTCTAAATACCCCAAGATTCTGTTTTCTGTTGAGTCATTTTTAGTTGTCTCCAACCCTTCATGACCCAATTTGGGGTTTTCTTAGCAATGATAGTGGAGTGGTTTGCCATTTCCTTCTCCAGCTCATTTTATAGATGAGACTGGGGCAAACAGGGTTAAGTGATTTGCCCAGGGTCACACAGCTAGTAAGTGTCTGAGGCCAGGTTTGAACTCAAGTTTTCCTAACCCCAGGCCCAACGCTCTATCCACTGTACCACCTCACTGCTCTAATATGTTTCCACAACATATTACTTACTCCCCGTTTACTACTCAAAAAGTTACCACCTCATTTCAATCCATCATCAGCTCTCACTTGGACTCTTGTAATGGTCTCCTAATTGATCTTTCCAATCCAGTCCAACCTACAAACAGTTACCAAAGTGATTTTCTGTAATCATAGCTTTGGCCATGTCAGTAAACTCTGGTGGTTCCCTCCAGGATAAGAAATATAGATAGACAGACAGACAGATAGATAGATAGATAGATAGATAGATAGATAGATAGATAGATAGATAAACTTTGTAACCTGATCCCAGACAGAAATGGCTTCATTGCACATTACCCCCCTCTCTGCAAGCTAAGGTCTTATTATTCTTCACATATAACACTCCATCTGTGGCCATCTCCCTCGCCCAAAATATATACTCTTCTCTTCACCTTGTAGAGTCACTGCTTCCATCAAGACTCAGATCAAGCACTACCTGATCCCTTGATTCCTCAACCTCCTGGTATCCTTACTGCCTTAAATTACCTTATGTGTGTGTGTGAGAGAGAGAGATGTTGTCTGTTAAGAAGTAAGCTCCTTGAGGGCAGGGATGTTTCATTTTTGTCTTTGTGTTCCCAGTTACTGCCATTGTTCCTGACGCATAATAAGCAGTATTTGGTGATTTATCATAGAAGATCAATCAATCAATCCTCTACTTTTCACTCCTTCCACAACCAACACTCTCCATCCAATTAGTTAACCATTCTCTGTCACAGCCATCTCTTCTCATCATTTACACCACAACCACCCTAGTTCAGGCCCTTATCACCTCTTGCCTAGACTATGCACTAACCTCTTCATTAGCCTTTCTTCACCTACCCTCTCCCTCTTTCCAATCTAGTCTCCACAAAGTTGCCATATTGATATTCCTAAAGCAAGGATCGAACTGTGTCAGGTCTCTGCTCAAGAAACTCCACTGTGTCCCTAATGCCTCTAGATTAAAGTACAAACTTCACTGTTTGACGTTTTAAAACCCTTCACAATCTGGCTGCAATCTATCTTTTTAGACCAATTACATATTCCCCTCCCCACACACACTGTACATTCCAGCCAAATTGACTTGCTCTTTGTTCCCTGCATGTGACATTCCATGTCCTGCCTTTGCTTAGGCTGTCCCCCTGGAATGCTCTTCCTTGTCACAGCTGCCTATTAGAGCCCCTGTCTTCCTTCAGTGCTCAGCTTTCAGTGCTACCTACTTTAAAGAAGACTTTCCTAGTTCTCTCAGTTGTTAGTAATACACAGGAATGATTTTCTTTTGCGCACATCTTGTATTTATTTATCTCTGAATGTGTTGTATTCCCTTTGCTCCTCAGAAGAAGGTAAGCTCCTTGAAGCTAGCAGTTGTTTTACTTTTGTATTTGTGTCCCCAGTACCTAACAGAGAACTTGGCACGGAGTAGGCAATAAATGCTTACTGATTGATTTAATTGACTATAAGAATATTTTCAATTAAGTTCTGGTGATAGACTATAGCTTGGAGGCAATGGAAATAAACCATATTACTGAAATGTTTGGCATTGAGAAGGAAATGAATTGGACAGTTAGTAGAAGGTGCTAGGTAAAGGTTATCTCCCCTTATAAAAGAAACATATTCATATTTGAAGGAATGAGCGAGGCAATTTGTGAAAAGGGAGATATTAATTATGCCAGAAAACAAGGGTCAAGTCATCAAGGTCTTTTTTTTTCTTTTCTTTTGGCTAGGCAGTGGGGTTAAGTGACTTGCCCATGGTAACACAGTTAGCAAGTATCAAGTATCTGAGGTCATATTTGAACTCAGGTCCTCCTGGCTCCAGGGCCAGTGCTCTATCCACTGCACCACCTAGCTGCCCCCATCAAGGTCTTTCAATCAAGTCATGGAAGAGTCAAGAAAGGAGAAAACATAGAATATAAATAGGTGGGTTAACTTTAAGGAAGAAGCAGGGCACCTATTCATCTGCGACTAAGGGAAGTATATTGTAATGGTGATAAGTTTAAGTGAAAGTAAAAATTTATGAAGAAACCCTTGGAGACTTTCAAGAAAGTTTTCCAACCAAAGTGGGTACTTCTCTAGTTAATAGCTAGACTGTACTTTTATAGTGATTTCCACCTAGTTCTTACTGACTTACCTGGAAATCTGTCTGTTGGGACATCCCTCTCCAGGATCCATGAATCTCACCTTTGTTCAAATGGGATATCCTATCAGATTTGGAAACTTGAAGCCCTGTTCAGAGGGAAAGAAATACTGCATGACTCAATTATAAAATCATAAAATAGCCACAAATCTGGAAACAAAGATACTTCTGAGCCAACTTACTTTGCTGAAACAGTTATATTTCCATATGGAGACGAGAGCTGTGCCTATAGAAGCTAAATGCCAATGTATCTTTGTTGCATAAATTTACTATGTTAGGATTAATTAAACCTTTTGTTAACTATTCAGTGATTTAAAATTGCCTCATTTTATCTCTAAATTGCACCAGAATTCTGTTGAAAACCAGTGTCCCCTCTCCTTCCTTCAACATTTGGCATAGTTGATAAATGAAATGGCCTGGTGGCTCAAATGCTAGTGAGTTGGGGGGAAAGCACCATAAATATGGAGGGTAGGGTAATCACATGGCTCAATACCACACAGTAGTATCTGATAACAAGGACTTGCTGGTCATTTAGGACAAGTCTTCTCAAATTAAAAAAAAAATTCTTTGTGTTTGTTTTAGATTTACTTATTTATTGGCTTTCTAATTTTTTAAAAATCCATATTCAGTTCATTAATCTTCCCTTTTTTCTTTTATTAATATATGTTTTTAGGGATGTGATTATTTTCCCCTGAAGACTATCCCAGAATTTTTGGTATGTTGTTTCATTATTATCATTTTCTTTCACATAATTATTGTTTCTATGATTTTTTTTATTCATTCATTATCAAGGATTTTATTGTTAAGTCTCCATTTGGGTGTGTGTCTTTTGTTTGTGCTACCTGAATTGATTACTATTTTTATTGATCTCAGTCTATGAAGCATATGTTTAGTATTTCTGCCTTTTTACATATTCATATTTGAAGGAATAAGAAATAATTTGCTATATTTCTGCCCCAATACTGGATCAATTTTTGTAAAAGTTCCATGTGGTGCTGAAAAATACATATGTTCTTAAATAGTCTTATTAGAAGATACTATAAGTCTTTTAGCTCTAAATTGTATCGAAATTTCTTCAATTCTGTATTTTCCCATTTGTTTGTCTTTTTGGTAGACTTATCCAAAACTGAAAAGAGGGACCTTGAAATCTCCTGCTATTGTTGTATTACCATCTATGTCATCTTGTAGTTCAGTTAACTTTTCTCTTATAAATTTAAATGCTAGGGGCAGCTAGATGGTGCAGTGGACTCAGGAGGACCTGAGTTCAAATGTGGCCTCAGACCAAACACTTGACACTTACTAGCTGTGTGCCCCTGGGCAAGTCACTTAACCCCAATTGCCTAAAAATAAATAAATAAATAATAGATTTAAATGCTAAAGCAATTGGAATATTTATGTTAATATTGATTTCGGCTTGTTTTCCATGGTTCGTTTTAGTATGATGTTGTTTCCTTGTTTATCCCTTTTTAGGCTGTGAATACTGTTTTGTTTTGTTTGCTTTCTCTGATAACATTGTTGCAACTCTTTTTTTTTTCTCCAGCCCTTCATTTTTATTCTATGTATGTCTTTGGTTTTTAGGTATGGTTCTTGCTAGCAACAGATTGTGAAATGTTATTTTCTTATCTAATCTGTTAATCATTTTCATTTTATTGGAGTATTTAATTCATTCATCTTTAAAGTTATGAGAGTCAGGTTTATATTTTCCTCCTCAAGTTAGGATTTTCCCCCTTCTTCCTCTAAAAATATACTATATTGTATCTTCAGTTATTTTAGCATTATCTATTTTAAGGTAACCGTATTCTCACTGGCTTTCTTCCCTTCACACTTAATCCCTCACACACTCCCTTTTCTTAACCCTTTCTCGAGTTTTGAAGTTTTGTTTAATTTATTAGTTTTTTTCTTTCTACCTTTACCTAATTACAATTATTTTCCTCTTTTTTCCCTCCAAGTAGTGAAGTAAAATCCCCCTTTCAGCCTGCTTTGTTTCATTTGTTTTTCAAATTTCACTTTTTTTCTAAAAAAGATTTCTTTTTCTCATTCTCTTCATTATTTATTTTCCCTTTCTATTCTAGATTTTTATCCTTTGATTTCCCTAGCTTATTTTCTGATCCTTTCGTTGTGGTCTTGGGGGCTAGACCTCAAAACCATGCCATTTCCATGCACGTTTTACAAGCCTCACTCTCTGCCTCCAAGCAAATCACTTAATCCTGTTTGCCTCAGTCTCATTTATAAAATGAGCTGGAAAAGGAAATGACAAACCACTTCACTATCTTTGCCAGGAAAACCCCCCAAAAAGGGATCACGAAGAGTTATTCATGACTAACCATTAACAACAAAATCTAATTCTTGGGACTTGATTAGTATATTTAATTGGATGGGTCATTCTTCTTGTTTTAATATAGTCACAATATCCTCAGGGATGGTACTTGGCTTTGGATTGCTGGTCATTGTTTGTCCTTTCTCGAAGAGGACCATAACAAAAGGAAGACAATGCCATGACTTGCAAATGAATTGGATTTAAGTAAGAGAAGGCTATGCAAAGTCACTAGCCTGACTCTCTCCTCCAGAGCCATCTGGGTCCAGTGGCAAGATATAGATCAGGACAACTAGAGATGGCCTCGAATGCAGTGGGAGACCTTGGCTTTTTTAAGTTAAGGTCTTTCCCAGGTCTCATTTTGACTGAGGCAATGCCCATTCAGTGATTAAGGCTAGGTAAGAATCAGATTAGCATCAAAATTCTTCTAGGCTTCGAAAGTTGTCATAGGTTTTGCAACCTCTAATGAGAGACTTAATCTATAAAATGAGATGGTCATTTATATTTTGGGGCAGGAAGAAGAAAAGAAACCAGCAATGAGGGAGAAGGGAAAGAGGCAGAAGGTAAAAAGTAGGGGGAGGGGGAAGCTTTTATGGTGTAATATCATGGAAACCAAAAGAGAAAAGGAAATTTCAGGAAGTAGATCATATCCTGTAGTGAGGTTTAAAGAACCAAAGGACTAAGAAAAGACCATTGCAATTGGTGATTAGGAGATTAATGATGATGGCCTTTGAGAATGGGATGGGAGCCAGATAATATAGGCATTTAAACATGGTAAGTGGTGAACAAGTGAAGGTAGGAGATGTAGTCTTCTAGTTTAAGAAACATGACTTGGATGGAAAGATAGAGTGAAAGGAGGCATCAGGATTAAGTGAAAGTTTTTTTCTAAAAATTACAGTGTTATTTGAAGACAAAGGGAAGAGTCTGTAGAAAAGGGAAGCTCAAAAATAAATAAAGGTTAGGTAGGGAAAAACCTTAGAGATCATTATATTCATAAAACAATAAATACCAGAAGATAGAATATAGCTCAGACATAATCAGGGACTAGAGCAGGCAAATTGTAAAGGGCTTCAAAACTATGCTGTCTGATGATTGGTTGAAGGAACTGGGGATGTTTAGCTTTAAGAGAAGAATGAAGTAGACATGATAGCTTATCAAGTTCCTAAAAGACTGTCATTTAAAAGAAAAGTTAAACTTATTCTTATTGCCCCTAGAGGGCATAACTAGGAGTAGTATGTGGAAGGTACAAAGATGCAAATTTAACACTAATAATAATAATGGCTAACATGTACATAGTGGTTATTATGTACCAGGCACTGTGCTAAGTGCTTTACAATCATTATCTCATTTGATTCTCACAACAACCCTGGGAGGTAGGTGCTATTATTATCCCCAAGCTTATAGATGAGGAAACTGAGGTTAAGTGACTTTCCCAGAGTCAAATAGCCAGTAAGTGTCTGAGCTCAGATTTGAAATTAAGTCTTCTGACTCCAGACCCCAGCACTCTTTCCGCTATGCCACTTGTTCACTCTTCATTCTCGAAGAAGGCCGATGACATCAGAAGGGTGATGTCTTGACTTGCAAGTGAACTGGATTTAAGTGAGGCAGAGCTGTGCAAAGTCATCAGCCTCACTGTCTCCTCCAGAGTCACTGGAGTCCAGGGGTACAACATAGGTCAGGACGACTGGCAATGGCCCTAGATGTAGTAGGAGACCTTGGCCTTTGTAAACTAAGGTTTTTCCCAGATCCCAGTTTGTCTGAGGCAATACCCATTCAGTAGTTAAAGGCTAGGCAAGAACTGAGGCAAAAGTTGGCCTAGTTTGCCTTCATAAAAGAATCAGTCTGGGAGGGGAAGACTCTCAGAGTTTCTGGCCAGAACAGAAACAATTGCTTAGCTTAATGGAAGGAAACACCACTTAACAATTAGAGCTATTCCAAAGTGGAATAGGAGGTATTGGTTTCCCTTTCATTGGGAATTTTCAGGCAGAGTCTGATGTCTAATATATTGTAGTAGTGATTCTTTTTTAGGTTTGGGTTGGACAGCTGCTGAGGTCCTTCCCATTATGAGATTTTATGATTCTGTGATTGAGCTATGGCCTATTTCTTTCCCGCTGAACAGGGCTTCAAGTTTCCAAACCTGGTGTAATATTCCATTTGGAACAAAGGTGAGATTTATGGATCCTGGAGAGAGATATCCCAAGAGGCACATTTCCAGGTGAGTCAGTGAGAACTAGGTAGAAATCACTGTAAAAAAAATAATACAGTCTAGCTATTAACTGGAAAAGTACCCACTTTGGTTGGAAAGCTCTTTTGAAGGCTTTCTTCATAAATCTTTATTGTCACTTAAACTTATTGCTTCTCTCAGTCTCAGAAGGATAGGTGCCCTGCTTCTTCCTTAAAGTTATCTGAATCCACCTGTAGTCTATTTTCTCTCCATTCTTGTCTTCTCTATTGCTTGACTGAAAGACTTTGATGACTTGATTATCCCTTGCTTTCTGGCATAATTAATATCTCCCTTTTCACAAATTGCCTCCCTTATTCCTTCAAATATGAATATGTTTCTTTTGTAGGGGGAGAAAAACCCTTACCCAGCACCTTCTACTAACTGTCCAATTCATTTCCTTCTCAATGCCAAACATTTCAGTAATATGGTTTATTTCCATTGCCTCCAAGCTATAGTCTATCACCAGAACTTAATTGAAAATATTCTTATAGTCAATTAAATCAATCAGTAAGCATTTATTGCCTACTCCGTGCCAAGTTCTCTGTTAGGTACTGGGGACACAAATACAAAAGTAAAACAACTGCTAGCTTCAAGGAGCTTACCTTCTTCTGAGGAGCAAAGGGAATACAACACATTCAGAGATAAATAAATACAAGATGTGCGCAAAAGAAAATCATTCCTGTGTATTACTAACAACTGAGAGAACTAAAAGTCTTCTTTAAAGTAGGTAGCACTGAAAGCTGAGCACTGAAGGAAGACAGGGGCTCTAATAGGCAGCTGTGACAAGGAAGAGCATTCCAGGGGGACAGCCTAAGCAAAGGCAGGACATGGAATGTCACATGCAGGGAACAAAGAGCAAGTCAATTTGGCTGGAATGTACAGTGTGTGTGGGGAGGGGAATATGTAATTGGTCTAAAAAGATAGATTGCAGCCAGATTGTGAAGGGTTTTAAAACGTCAAACAGTGAAGTTTGTACTTTAATCTAGAGGCATTAGGGACACAGTGGAGTTTCTTGAGCAGAGACCTGACACAGTTCGATCCTTGCTTTAGGAATATCAATATGGCAACTTTGTGGAGACTAGATTGGAAAGAGGGAGAGGGTAGGTGAAGAAAGGCTAATGAAGAGGTTAGTGCATAGTCTAGGCAAGAGGTGATAAGGGCCTGAACTAGGGTGGTTGTGGTGTAAATGATGAGAAGAGATGGCTGTGAGAGAGATTGTAAAGGCAGAAGAGACAAGATTTGGTGACTGATCTGATGGAGGGTGTTGATTGTGGAGGGAGTGAAGAGTAGATTGATTAATCAATCCCTCCATAATAAAACACCAAGCAATTATTAAGTGCTTATTAGTTTAGGTAGTGATGGTACTAGCTGTCAATCAATTAATCAATAAACACTTATTAAGCCCCTCTATGTCCCAGGCACTGTGCTAAGTGCTGGGGATATAAAAAGAGGCAAAAAACAGTGCCTGACCTCAAAGAACTTACAGTCTAATAGGGGAGACAACATGTCAATGAATATATACAAAGCAAACTATATATAGGATAAATAAGAATTAATTAAAAGAGGGAAGGCACTGGAATTAAGAGGGGCTAGGGGATTGACGAATCAGGAAGAACGTGGAAAAGGAAGTACTTGAGTTGAGTCTTCAAGGAAGCATGGATTCTGCAAGGTGGAGAAAAGGAAAACGTACATTTTAAGCATGGAGGTTGACTAGAGATGAAGTGTCTTGTGTGAAGAACAAGACCAGTTTGGATAGACTATCTCTATAGCACACAGGGAGGGAAATAATGTGTAATGAAGCTGGAAGGCCCCATTGCGAAGTTAACATATTTTATCCTAGAGGCAATAAGAGAGCCACCAGAGTTTATCGATTAGAGAGATGATATGGTCAAATCTGTGATTATGGAAAATCACTTTGGTAGCTGTTTGGAGGTTGGATTGTATTGGAGAGAGGGGTAATAAGGGCCAAAACTAACATGGTAGTTTTTTGAGTAGTAAGAAGGGGGAAGATATGATAGATGTTTTGGGGAAGAACAGTAATCTCTGGCAACTGACTGGCTGTATGGCATGAGGGAGAGTGAGGGGTGAAGAATTTTGTCCAGGTGACACAACTGAAAGAATGATGGTGCCTTTGACAGAAATAGGGAAGTTCAACAGGGGGGTGAGTTTTGTGGGATAGAAATGAATTCAGTTTTGGAAATGTTGAGTTTGAGATGTTTATAGGACATCCAATTAGCTTTGTCGAGTAGCAGTGATGTGGAACTAGAGCTCGAGCATGAAACTGGAGCTAAATATAGATTTGAAAGTCATCTTCATGGAGCTAATCATTAAACCCATGGGACCTGATAAGGTCAACAAGAGAGAGCATGTAGAGAAAAGAGTCTAGGACAGAGCCTTAAAATACACTCAAGAGTGTGATATAGATGATGATGTAGCAAAAGACACTGAGAAGGAGAGATCAGACAGGTAGGGGCATGTCAAGAAAGAAACTCCTGATTCCTTGTGCATTGGCTTTTTACTTAGGCCACCAAGAAGTCACATGAGTGGTTCAAGCCTTACTCTTCTGACAATTCCAATGCCTTTTAAGGACAAATTAGCCTAGCTTGCAAAGGATAGGGCCCTAGGAAAAGCTAGCCCAACTTGTATGGTTAGGGAATCAGGAATAGTAGTCCAGCCTACATTTCAGAGACCTCATAGATATTCCTCCTTTCACAACCCTACAAAGGGTTAAGTAGTGAATGAGAGGAGAGAAAATAAAAGCAAGCAGTGAAGACTTTCAAAAAATTTTCCTTTAAAATTTGGCTATGAAAGGAAGGGTACATGGGTTTGTTAGGGTCTAATGAAGGTTTTTAAGGCTGGGGAAGACTTGGATATGTTTGTAGTCAATGGAGAACGAGTAAGTAGTTAGGGAGAGATTGAAGATTAGAGAGAATAGATCATTGAGAGGGCAATCTGTAGAGAAGACTAGAGGGAATAGGATGCAGAAAACATGTAGAGGTGTTGACCTTAGCAAGAAGGGCCCACTCCTTATCAGGAGAAGAGAGTAAAAGGGCTTTTGAGAGGTAGAGGAGAGAAGAGGGAGGTCATGGCAAATGACCTCTATTTTCTCAGTAAAGTGTAAGTTTATTTTATTATTTATTATTAATCAGATAATTATATAGATTAATTATGTAACTGATGTAATTATGTAATTAATAATAAACATGTAGAGGTTTACTGAAGCATTTAGTTCTTCAGCTGAGAGGATGAGGAGTGGGATAGAAAATCAATTAAGGATGAATAAAATGTTTATCTTGCTACAGTGAATAACTTAATTGGGGTCAGTGAACACAAATTTCTAGTGGACTCAAGTCAGCTTGTGACTTTCTTCAATTAGATTCAGTGGCATATGAGTAGGAACAGAGGAGGAGAGCTGGGGTTGAGTTTTAACAAGGCATGAGTAGTAATGGGACACAGTGGTAAGGGATTTGAGAGTAGAATATAATGTGAAAATGAATTAATTAGCTATAGAGTCTATAATAACGAGAAAGGAGCAAAATGAAGTCAGCATAGACCTGAGGAAGTTTGAAGGGGTAAAAGGATTGGAGGTAATGATGAGGGAGAATAAGCTTAGGAGGACTAAGACATAGGGAGAGATAGATTATAGAAAGCTATGATCAGATGGAGGAATGTTAGAGTTTTGTGGGGGTTTTTTTAATCATGAAAATGGAATACCTATAGGTAATGGTTAAATGTAGGATTTAAGGATCACAATGAGGCAATGAATCTGGGTGACTAAAGATGGTAGTGCCCTCAACAGAAATAAGTAAATTAGGAAGTGGGTGGGGGTAGGGGAGAATAATGAATTTGGTTTTGGACATATTGAATTTGAGATATTTAGGGGGCACTTTGTTGGAGGTATCTCACATGCAGTCACATGTTAATGAATTAGAACTGGGAATCAAGAAAGAAATGAGAGCTGGATTTGTAGATATCAATGTCGTCTTCACAGAAACAATAGGGGAACTGATGAGATCACTAAGCAAGAGAATGTAGAGAGAAGAGGAGTGGGCCCAAAATAGAACCCTGGAGTGCACCCACAATAACAGGGGTGGGGAGGTGGAGAGAGACATGATGATATTGTATAGAAGAATGAGAAGCAAAAAGGATTTTTCCCCATAGGAATTTAGCCATGAAAGGGAAGAGATATGTGGGACAATCATTTGAAGGCAAGGTAAGTAGGGGTTGAAAATCAGGAAGAGTGATAGCATGTTCAGTGGGGCAAGCTGTCAAAGGAGAAGGGAAGGAATGGTACCAGATATTTTGGAAGAGATGTAGTGTTCCAAGATCTTATCATTTTATAAAACTAAAAAAATATTTTAAACACTATAAAAATAACATTCTCCATACCAACCAAAGGAAGAGATGTGTTTTGTCATATACTTTTTTTTCAGATCCTTGCTAGTCTATCCTCTCCCCCTGCTCCCAATTCTATAATATTCTGCTCCTTCCTTTCCTCTTATATAAATCCTAACAGTCTATAGTTATAAGTTCCAGTTCAAGCTTTCATGAAGGGCTTCTCAACTACCCCAGATGATATTGATATCTACCTTCTCTTTTTTTAATGAAGGTAGATGGAGAAGAAGTAATTCTCTTTCCTTTTTATTGGGGCCATCTGTTCCATAACATTATTCTTTTGTCTGACCACACAGCCATTCATTAATTTGTTCATTTAACAAGTATTTCTGAATTAATTATATGTTTCAGGTGCAGGGTCAAAAAAAAAAGACCCTCTTCAAAAATTATCAATGGATTGGAAACCTTTGATATGGTAAGAAGAAGTGCTGGAATAAGAGTCCAGATACCTGCATTGTGTGACATCGGGCAAGTCACAACCTCTAGGATCCTGATTTCTTTATTTTTAAAATAAGCATTGCAATATTAGCCTATCTTCCTCAGAAGACTGTAGTAAGCAAAGTGATTTTTGTAGGCCTAGAAACATAGAAATTTAAGTTGTTGCTATTATTTTGGAGGCATTAAAAGTAATATTAATGTTGGTAACTGAAGAAAGAAACTAAGTGTTCAGAGAGAGGTGAACAAGAGAAGTGAAATGAAGGAAACGTGAAGACTCAGAATGGGACAATGGAACCCCTAAAGTGGTGAAGCATCACCACTTGAGATTGGTGAGACTGGAAAGAAATTGAGGACTTTTCTATAACAGTAGGTGCAGAAAGGTTGAAGTTCTTAAAGCCTGGGTAATTTAGAAGAATTGATATTGAAGGCCATATTCCTGGGAGCTACCAAGTTAAAGTTTAAGTAGACATAAGAACAGTTATAACCAATACTGAGAAGCCTACTTTGGATCCAGATAGGGAAAACCTTGCTTTTCCAGTGATTAAAAGACCTGAGAGAATTAGTTGTGCCTTTGGATTAAGGATCGGAAGAAAGGTTGGATTAGAAAGCAAACTGTAAACTATGTAAGCTTGGTGTATATGTGAGCCTATGCCAAACTAAACTAAGTAAAAATCATCTATATAGCTATAGTTTAACTAAGGTGATTGTGTGAAAATTTTCTTGCACTATAATAAATGAGTTTACACACTTTTAACAGCAGACTGTGTTGTCCTAGAATGACAAGCTATAAATTATCAAAGAATTGGTGAAGAAGGGGCGGAACCATGACCTCTGGACACAACTTTATTTATACTATGTGATAGCAGTAGGAAATGAATTATATGGTAGAAGAGTTAGCTCAAAATCCTTAGTTTCGTGTTTAATTTCATCACAGCACTGAATTAGCATATTACCTTTCTAGGAATTTAGAAAACGAGATACTAGCTGGAAAAACACATAAAATAAGTACACGTGCAAGGCAATTAGTGCCAAAGCAAATAATACAGACTATTAGTATGGAGGTTCTGAGACTAGAACTCAGAATAGGGAGCAGGGTTTATGAAAAGTTTTTTTGGAGGAGTTTGAACTTGAGAAGGAAAGGATGGATAAGATTTGTTTAAACATGTTGAAGGCAAAGTGAATGATTTGAACAATGGATTGAAATCAAGAATAGGCATGGTATAATCTAGGGACAATGAAGAGATTAGTTAGCCTAAAGTGGATGGTTTGTGGTAGGCAGAAAGTAGTGGAAAATAAGTCTGAATAGGGATAGTGGGGAAAGAATTGGGTTTTTATCTCATAGGCAATGGTGAGATGCTATAAAATCTCTTCTATAGTGTAATATCAAGAAAATAGCATCTTAGGAAGACTCGTTTGTAGAACGGCATGCAGAATGTACCAACTGGCAGCAGACTGGCCTGCTAGAAGTCTATGACAGCAATCTAGGGATAAAAGCCTGGCCTAATATACTAACAATTTTCATTTCCTTAAAAGCTGACTCTCAAGAGGCAAGACTACTTTCCTCATTCTCCAACATGTCTACTTATCTTCATTCCTTCTAATTAGCTTAATTCTTCTGGTCATCTGCCTTAGTTCTTTACATCTTAGATAGCTTATCATCATTCTTCATGAACACTAGATCCACCAGTTCAGACTGGGATTTCAGACACTAAGAGTCCCATTCTCATTTGATCTAGCAGTGGGATTTATTGATAGTATACAAACTGATCTACAGTAGTGGGCAGAAACCTTTAAGGGATGCATATACCCTGACTGACTGCCTTACTACCACCTGGCTTCAATGTTAGTTTTGATTTTGAAGACGAAATCACACACACAATAGTGCCAAGCAACTACCCTTCTCAGAAATGCCGTCTGATTCTGAGTGAACTGGGGAGGTTATGGGTAGCAATGTTTTATACTGAGGGAGGAAAAAAGAGCTTGGGCCTTTGTCTAGGAGGGTAAGATCGTAGCCTCCTTTGAATATGCCAGTTATGAATACTCCAGTTAAGGAGAAACAGAAAAGTTGGTAGAATTCCTTTGGCTGCACTTATGGACACATCAGTCATTTTAATAACTGTTTTTGTCTACAGAACATGTTCCCACTCCACCTTCTAGATGAAGGCTTCAAGTTCAAACAGACTACATCAAGTTCCCCTCCTGTACTTTCTCTTGACTGCTTACCGAGCCTCAGCTTCCCCTTCCATCCTCTCCCTGGATTACCAGACTGTATCTGATAACTGTCAAAGACATATCTTCAGTGTAGTCAGCACTGTCAATTTCATTATCTTACTATCACTAGAATAGTTCCCTTTCTTCCACAGAGGAAAATGGAACATTTGTATTTTCAATTTCTCTCAGATTGGAAGACATGGGCTGAGATGAAGCATGTAACTTCAAAGCAATACATTTCCAAAGAATCATCATTCCAGGCATAGTAATGGAAAGAATTAAAATGGATGGATCTTGGAATTCTGAGTTGGAAGAAACTTTAAAATTGGAGGGTAGTATAGAGAGCCTACAGGGAAAACCCAACAAACTATTGCATCAAATGATAATGCATAGAAAAACTCTAACTTGGGAGAAAAGCCCTGAATATAATGAATTTGGGGAAAGCCTCAATCTGAGCTCAAACCTGGTGACACAGCAAAGAATTTTTACAGGTGAGAAACCTGATAAATATGATACACATGAAAAGAACTTCAAACATAATTTGGATACAGCTAAACATCAAGGAATGAACACAGACAAGAAATCTTGTAAATGTAATGAATGTGGGAAAGCCTTCAATTACTATTCAGACCTTATTCGACATCAGCGAACTCACACTGGAGAGAAACCATACACTTGTAATGAATGTGGAAAGGCATTCAGTGATCCCTCACCCTTTATTCGACATCAGAGAATCCATACTGGAGAAAAACCCTATGAATGTAATGAATGTGGAAAGGCTTTCAGTGACCGATCAACATTTATTCAACACCAGAGAATTCACAGTGGAGAAAAGCCTTATGAATGTAATGAATGTGGGAAAGCATTTAGCCAAAAAAAGCACCTTATTCAGCATCAGAGGATTCATACTGGAGAAAAACCCTATGAATGTAGTGAATGTGAGAAAGCATTCAGCCAGAGGACCCAACTTATTCAACATCAGAAAACTCATACTGGAGAGAAACCCTATAAATGTAATGAATGTGGAAAATTCTTCAGCCGGAGCACACACCTTACAGAACATCAGAAAACACACACTGGAGAGAAACCCTATAAATGCAACAAATGTGGGAAAGCTTTCACTTATCGCTCAACCTTTATTCGGCATCATATTATTCATACTGGTGAGAAACCCTATGTATGTCATGAATGTGGGAAAGCCTTTAGTCAAAACTCAATCCTTACTGAGCATCATAAAACTCATACTGGAGAGAAACCCTATAAATGTAATGAATGTGGGAAAGCTTTCAGTTCCTGCTCATACCTTAGCCAACACCAGAAAACTCATACTGGAGAGAAGCCTTATAAATGTAATGAATGTGGGAAAGCCTTTAGTTACTGTTCGTCACTTACTCAACATCAGAGAGTTCATACTGGAGAGAAACCCTATGAATGTAACGAGTGTGGAAAAGCCTTCAGCTGTTGGTCCAACTTTAACCAACATCAGAAAACGCATACTGGAGAAAAACCCTACAAATGTAATGAATGTGGAACCGCCTTCAGTCAGAGCACACGTCTTACTCAGCATCAGAGAATCCATACTGGAGAAAAACCCTATGAATGCCACGAATGTGGAAAATCTTTCAGTCTAAGCACTCGCCTTGTTGAACATCAGAAAACTCATACTGGAGAGAAGCCTTATAAATGTAATGATTGTGAAAAAGCTTTCAGCCGGAGCACCCACCTTACTGAACATCAGAAAACTCATACTGGAGAGAAACCCTACAGATGCAATGAATGTGGGAAAGCTTTTACCTGTAGTTCATCCCTGATCAGACATCAAAGATTACATGTTTGAAAGTAAATGTGTAAATGTAATGAATATGGATGAAAACTAAAGTCAAACATCACTTTCTTAAATATTTTAGTCAAGCAATCTAATAGAAAAGATTAAGTTGATTAAGAGGAGACTCTCTTTGCATCTAAGTTTCCTTGTACAGCCCCTACTGCCATAGTTCATGTAGATAAACCCTTAAGAGTATTTGTTGATTCATTGTTTGATTAAAATAACTTTGTGTAGTAACCCAAGTTAAAAGGGTCACTTAAGAGCTTTAGAAAGATCAATCTTCAGCTAAATAAGGATCAGGGTAGGGTGGTAACTTTCTTCCTGAAGATGGGATGGCCAAAAAGAAATCTTGGTTTAAGTACTATTGGTTATACTAGTTACCACAGCATTGTCTTCTAGCAATTTTGCCTCGAAAGTTCCACCAGTTGGTCAACTGTCTTAAAGAGGTGGCAGTCACTGTCTTCAATTCACCAGAGCCTGGGGAAAAGAGGATCTAAGAGACCTGATATGTACATATGAGCCCTAAAGTATTATGCTGTTTTTCTATTGTGATAATTATTGTTTTATATGAATTCTAAAAGATACTATTTTAGTTTTCTAATTAGTATTCACTTAAGAGCCAAAGCCTAAAAAGATTTGAAGCCATTGGATTAAGTTGGTGAATCTGAAAAGTCCTGTGCAATAATGCTCCTACTTTACTCCCATAGGGAGGTAGTTATTATAATTGGAACAGAGTAGCTCAATGCTATTTCTGTGGGCCAAGAATCCAGACAGTTCTTATCTGAGGCACTGGAATTTTTTTTTTCTTTCCTTGAAATAATTCTCTTTGCCTCAATCTACAGATTATGGGGATATAGTCCACATAACTCTGAGAAGCCAGACATAGGGAGCAAATAAAAATCAGGAAAAGGTGATGGGAGCTTAATTTTAAGAACAGTTTTGCTTTATTCGCATTGAGTTCTACAAAAATGTCTCATCATTGTATGTGCAAATTATTCTACAGATTCTGTGTTACAATGGATCACATGAACCCCCAACACTGAGAAGGAGAAACAGGTCTTGAAAGAGAAGGATAGATTTTTGGACCCAGGATTAAGCTAGAAGTGACCCAAAGTACCCTCTGCAGTTCACATGGCACAAGATGATAAAGTTCCTAAAATCATATTAAAGGAGAACCCGAGAAGTTTCAAGGAAGCTACAACTTGAAGGGAATGAAGAAATATCTGCCCTGCTGTTGTCTTGATTCTCCTTATAGGAATGGACTGAGACCTTAGTCTTGAAAAAAGGTATAGTCAGCATAGCAGGCTATTGCAAGCTGTAATCTTAATTTTTTAATTTAATTAATTCCACCTTCTCCCAATTTATACAGCTTTCTCAACCATCAGAAATTTTGAGCAAACATAGGGCTCTAGGTTTCTTGCAGTGAAGAGCTCTGACTTATAGGCTCTTCTCTTCATTTATAGCTTTTCCAGATCCTTACTTCTATTTGTCATTCATCCTCATAGACTCTTTGGTGAATGAATGCAGGTCACTTCAGACAAGTTATTAGGTCCTGGATAGTACATAGTAACTTCCTTGGCAGGGCAACTGGGTTGACTAACCAGAAGCCAAGAAGGTGAACCTTATACAAGATGAAGAAATAGGTGCACATTTCCTTGGTCACCTTCTGCCTTCCCTTAATTTCAAGAGGAAATTCTTTAAAACTAGACCAAAAAGGTACTTATAATTTTATTTTATTTTACTTATTATTTGCTAGAGGCAAATTGTTCCTCTGACCTGTTTTCCCCCCTCACCCTCTTTCTTCCTTGTATTATCCTGTAAGTACTCCCACCTTCAAATCCCACTCCACCCTCCATTCTCACATTCCATCTTTTTTTGACTTCTTTCTTTTCCCTCACCTTAAATTTCTCCCTAAAATGAGAAGAAAACCATGTTTAAGAAAGAAGTGATAGAAGTGACAGAGAAATTAGAATGAGTACTTTCCCCTGGGACTGATATATACAATTCTGTACAACAGTGTTAGGGGATCAAGTTGCATGCCTTGTGAACAGCCTCTGTATAGAATTAAAAGTACAAAATGAAACAACAATAAGATAAGCCATTCTATACTTTACATGACTGTAGACCATGTAAAGATAGCAGAAGACAAGCAAAGAATTCCTTTCTCCTTCATAATAAATTAGTATTATAAATGACTAACGGTTAAGTTTGCTCATTTAGGTATAGAAACCTAGAAATTCTTCAGTATAATAAATTATTGACAGATTTCCTAAATATGCAAAGGAAGCAATGTAGAGAACTGGAAATATACCCATTAGTCCAATTAATTAATACCTCTTGGTTCTTACCCAAGATACTGAGTTTTGAGGATTTCCTTGCAGTTGGAGATGAAGGGATATGCATAAGTTCAGGCAGAAACAAATACAACACTTCCTAATTTATAGTAATAGAATGTCTATTTGTATGTATGTGTGCATATGGACTGACATTCATAGGGAAGTAGCTTTTGTCCTTTAGATGAACATAACAAAGTGGTAAGATTCAATAAAGATGAATTTGTGTGGCTGTCAGAATTAAATTTTGTCACATTTCTCATATTTCTGGACAAGAAGCATTATATATACTATGACCATAGGGAAGTCACTTTTAACTTTTTTCAGCCTCAGTTTTCTCATGTAAAAAGGGGAATACTTCTATCTGTAGTACCTTCCTCCAAAGGGTTGCTGTAAAAGTCCCAAATGATAGAATGTATGTGAAGTGTTTTGCAAACTTTAAAGTATTATAAAAATGTAAGATATTATTCTGGAGCCTGAATCTCAGGACTCTTCCCAATACTGCAGTACAATTTGAAGTACTAGGGATAAGATGGGATGACCCCTGGGTTGTAGATTGTAACATACTAAAGGCCAACATCCTCAAACTTATGTGTAGCTAGACAGTTAAAATCACATCTGCAACTCAATAAAGGACCAAACTAATTTTATCTCCATAAAAATGAGCTTCTTGGTAAATATGACTACCCCGTTATACAGAATGAATTTGTGGAATCTCTAGCTCCATCTCCTTTGCTCCAGCTAGGTGGGAAAGTTGGCAGAGGAAATTAAGTATGGTTCCCACTCCAGCCCCATCCTTACATTCTGATGTTCAGAGATACAAAGAGATATAATGTATGATACTTACAGTTTAGTTAGGAGATAGGACATAGATATTCAAAAGGTGAATAGTAACTTCCATTAATTGGAAATCAGTAAAGGCTACAGGAGTTGAACTTTTAAAGCAATTGGGGAGTATCTCTAAGACATTGAATCATACGATTGGTAGCAAAACTAAGATTAGAACCCACAGCAATTGATTGATTCCAAGTCCAGTAATCCTACACTACATCAATACTACTTTTCAGTTCAAAGAAAAGAGTAATCACTGTGCATTGTGGTTGTTGGGAAAAGCTTTGAGATAAGGTGAATCCCCTGGAATTAGAGAATAATGACTAGGTTGGGGTTTATCGAAAAGTCAGATATTTCCTGTATTGTATCCGTATATAGTCATGTATGCTTGATGGGGCAACAGAACACTAAATAATGTTTTGTTGGACTAATTCCTTGCAGGCCAAAGATAATGGTGGTACAACTCAAAACAGGCAAGTTTCTCACAGGTTTCTGTGATGGAACAAAAATTGGTTCACATCACTATGGGAAGATTTTCTTTGTTACATAACTACATTTTTGTTTCTTCTAATGTGAATACTCTGTCTATAGACTACTGAACTTGAAATTAGGAGATCTGAATCATACTCTTCTGTCATTAATTATGTAACCATGGTCAATCTACTTAAACTCTCTGGGTCTCACTTTCCTCATCTATAAAAAGAGGAAGCTAAATTAGATTATCTCATAAGTGTGTGTTATATCCTATACTACTGAATTCCCAGTGTCCTTGAACTGAATGGGGTAGTGGTAAAGAGAGGCATGGCAATGAGAATGGGAGATTTGGAGTGCAAGGTTTTTGTTTTGTTTTGTTTTGTTTTGTTTTGGAAGTGGGGGAGAGATTAAAAACAAGAAAGGAAACCCAACATTGGAAGAAGTTACTCAATTAGCAAATGATATATTCTTAGTTGCCTTAGAAAACCTAGGGTGCTTGAGGAATAAGCTACCAAATGTCCTAATAAATGCTCATTGGGGAAATAATATTAAGGCACCAAGAAATTCTGTAAAAACTACTGGGAATGAAATTCAGAAGAACTCATCTGACTTCCCTGACTTACAGGTCTCCAAAGGTTATTGTAGAAGGGCAGGCAAATTAATAAGTTAAATACTCAAAGGAAAAGAAATCAGAATCCCTGAGATTAAAAGTCTCATGTTTTCAGTCTTTTTCCTCCACAATAGTAGAGGCAATGATGAAGCAGTGAGAATGAAATTTGCAGTCTTCAGTTCTTTCTTTTGCTTCTTCTGTTCTTCAACCCTGAGACATAAGTCCCTACCTGACCCCTGAGGAATATTGGAGCACCTATGGCACCTCCACCCAGACCAAACAGACCAAATCTGGAGAGGGACCACCCCTATGTTATTTTACAAAATTACAGAATTTCAGAGTCAGAAGTTACCTTGACAGCCATCCAGTTTAACTTAAACCTTAAAATGAATCCTTTCTATCACATACCTTATAAGTAGTCATCCAACCCTTGGTTGAAGGCCTCCAGGGAAGGGTAACCCATTACCTTGGAAGGAGTGTGCTTTAGGAGTCCCTGTCCCTTCAATCTGTTCCTCTTTTCAACTGATTTTTGTGTAACAATAAGTAATAACTCCTGCTGGGACACTTGCCCTCTCTCTTCATACAAGACTACTCTCAGGTCTGTACCCACACATAGAGACTGGATTCAATCCTGGGGGAAACTAGCCTGTAGGTGAGGGGTCAGTTTCCTTTTCTTATACTCCTGGATCGTTATACCCTCACCCCAAAGGCCCAGGGAGGAAGCTTACATTCAGCCATGTCCAGGGTCTCTCCAAATATAGGCATGTAGGAAGGTACTCTATGTACAATATAAATAAAACAGTTATTTCTTCCATACAGAGGAGATGCTAAACACAAAAGACTTGTAAGCACATATTGGCAAGGTTTAAACAAGCAATAACATAACAACTAAAGCCTTCTCCCAGGAGACTGATACCTAAACCATAAAAATAAAACATTTTGCGTGAGCATTAAATTGGCATTTTACCTTCTCAGCTCTGCCCTATTACAACAAATCCATGTAGTTCCTTGCCTTTTGGCAAGCCAGACCAGGGGTGGGGCTCATCCTCCTGCCAGTTGTCATCTTACAAAAAGTTTCTGGAAGCTCCTCCCAAAGTGCAGCCAGCATGCTACTGAGGATCCAGGAGCCACCAACTTCTGCTACTCACAAGACTGCCTTCAATGCTAGAAATGTCCGTCTCAGGACTGCCACCTTAAATCATGGAAACAAAGTTATCTATAATCAGAAAAGAAGCAAAGCAAAAGAGGCAACTGGGGCTTTTGATCAGAAGAGGCAATCCAGTCTCAGGATAGTCTAAAAGCTAGCAATCTTTTAGCTTCTATGAGCTCACAACTGCCATGCCAGGGTGGGAGAAACATAGCTTCCCACTCCCTACAGTGAAAGCTCTGAAGAATCTTCATATCAACTGACTGGCATAGAAAGAGACATCTAGAGAGTAGGTGTCACTCTATCAGACTTTGGTGGCCAGTACTACTTAATGGAGCCATCACCCCTGCCCACCTCCCCTAATCCTTAGTTGTCATGGGGTGGGGAATTAAAGAACTACCCAGCATTTGTTTCATTATCCAAAACAAGTCTCTCAGAAGTAAACACGTTTCTCCAGAAGTGGACAGGGCAACTCCATCGGGTGTGCTCTAACAGAACAGACAGTGTGATACTACTGTTCTCCACCTTGCAACCCCCCAACCCCACTGTCCCACCTTTCACACAAGAAATACTCAGTCCTGTCATCTTACTTATCTATTTTTTGAGGGTACTTCTTTTTGAGCCTCTAAGCTCTTACCTCTTTTTCTTTTGTTCATTGAGTCATTTATAGATAAAATGGGACATCCAAGATACAATTGTCTCCTACCTTGAATCATGTCAACAAAGTCATCACCTAGCTCCTGCAATTCTCAAAGTGTGATTTCAACCTCTGGGATTTTCCAAGACCCTTTCAGGAGATCCTCAAGGTCAAAACTATTTTTATAATAATAACAATAATAATATTTCTTTGCCTATTAAAATATCCTTCCCTTTTTCAACTACATGCCTGTGTCAGAATAGATTTTTTCATATTCGTCAATCAAAACATATCACAAACAGATTGAATTCAGATATGAGAATCCATCTATTTCCTATTAAGCCAGACATTAAAGAGATTGGAGAAATATGTAAAACAATGCCACTCTTATCACTACATGTATTTTTTGTTATGGAAAATATATATTTTTAAAGTCTATGTTAACATGTTTACCTATTTTTAATAAATGAATAAATATTTTAAAATTTTATCAGTTTTTATTTCTAACATAGTAAATAATGATAGCTATACCCACATAAACAAAAGCTCTTGGGGTCCTAGATAACTTGTAAGAGTGTAAAAAAGTCCTGAGACCAAAAAGTTTGAGAACTGCTGAATATCTTTGTCAGGTTATTAAGGACTTCTTTATCTTTTTATCTTTGTATACATTTCAAAAGCTTTTTTTCAGATCTAATTTTCTCAAGAAAAATGCTTGGAATCAATGAATGAAAAAGCATTTGTTAAGCAGTGCTAAGCATTGGGGATGCAAATAGAAAAGTGAGATGGGCCCTGCTTTGAAGAGGCACTTGTTCTAATTGGGAAAGGGCACACATACAGGAGATTTTAGCTGCAGGACAGGTGGAAAGACCTAGTGGTCTTTAGGATGCCTCAAAAGGGTAGATGGTAGGACTCAGGGAACCTTTGTTGGTAGGCTATATGGCAACACTTTGGGGAGTCTGGAAGGCATACTGAAATGGCAGATCATATGGCTCAGTGGTCCTCCATTTTACTGGAATGACTGTAGCTGATGATTCCCCAACCATCCAAGTGGTATAGGTGGCCATATCTGCCCTTAGTAGTGGGCTGAGGTTGAGAGGCCCATCCCATAACCATTGGGAAGATAGGGAATGGAACAGGACCCCTGAGTTCTCTTCCAAAGGGATAAGGATTGGGGAATGTCCATTTGGGAGGGAGAAAAAAAGAAGGAAGCATTGGTAGGACAGTTTTGGGGGGAAGAGTTCTTGTAGCATCTACCCTTTTGAGCTCTCTGGTGTCTGGTGAGATGTGCATGGTCTTAATTTTGTTGAAAATTCATCTTATACTGAGCTTTAAAGAATGTTATTCTGAGAGCAAGATATTTTATTTGGCTTTTTGGTATGTCATATTTTTGTTTGTTTTAAGATTTAATTTATTTTTCAGTTAAGAAAATGTTATTTCTTCTCCTTCCTACTTGTACCCTTATTAATACCCTTGTAACAAATACAAATAACTAAGTGAAATAAATTCCCACATTGGCCATGTCCAAGATATTTATCTATATCATATTATAATTATATATCATATTACAGATATTAGCTATATCTATAATATATATTGTGCATATAATATGCATTATATAGCTATAGATGTAGCTACATAGCTATCTAGATATATGTAGATATAGATATCATCTTAGCATATTCTAGCAATTTCTTTCATTTCTCATTGTTAATTTTTCTGTGGTAGTGGAGGTGTTTTTATCCTGAAACTCTGGTTTTTTAATGGATTTCTGGGTAAGTTAAACTTGGGGTTCTTTTCTCTGACTATCCTGTAGATTTTATCAATTTGTGTTTTCCCCTCTACTTTCAATAGTTTTCTTGCATGATTTCCTAAAATATAAGAGTCAAACTTTCTATTTATCTGTATTTTTCTTGGAAGCCAATGCTCTCTGGGTTGTCTAGCTGAGCTTTGTCTTCAATTATTGATTTATTAAGAACCAAGAACCAATTTAAAAAATTTTTCCATCAGTTGACCTCACTCTAATATTTCATTTTGCATATTCTGCATTTTAGTTACATCTCTTTTTCAGGTTATCTACTACTTTGTTAAAATGTTCTACCTTCTATTCAAATTGGTTCTCTCTTGTTATTCTTTAAAAGTCTGAATTTCACTTTTTAATGCTTCCTTTTTAAAAATTAAGACTTTCAGTTAATCTAAGAGGTTTGTAGTTGTTTCACTCTCTTTTGGAATCAATGAATGAAATGGGCCTCAATGGGCCTCTTTCATTCTCAGTTGTAGTCACAATTTTTTTCTTTAGATTTTTTTAAGACCAGAAGAAAGCATTTCTATACACACAGAAGAATAATACCACAAAAGGATTTAATATGAAACTGTGAATCTTTATCCCAACCACTTGTTTTTTTAACTGGATAATGAATTCTACCCATTACTTTCAAAGCTGCACCTCTTGCCAATGGTTCCTTCTGAATTTCCTTCTATTTGCATTTGTTTATTTTATCAAATGTTACAGTGCTCTTTCTGGGGCTTTTTGGGGTTTTTTGTTTTTGTTTGTTTGGTTGGTTTTGGTTTTGGTATCACTATTGCCTAACGATATTGCACCTGGACATAGAGGTGTCCAAGAGAGGCCTTCTGGAGAAAGTGGCATTTGAGTCAAATAACCTAGGAGGTAGAACTGAGGAGGAAGAGAATTCCAGGTATGGGGAACAGCCAATACAAAGGCATGGAAATGGTAGGAAGAGGGTTATGTATGAGGAAAAACAAGTAGACCAGTGTAGCTGAATTGTACAGTTTGTGGAGAGGAATAAAGTGAAAGATTAGAAGGGTAGTAAGGGAACAAGGTGTGAAAGACTTTAAATGTCAGAGCAGCTAGGTGGCACAGGGGATAGATTGAAGTCAGAAGGAACTTAGTTCAAATCTGGCCTTAGACCAAACCCTTGACACTTACTGGCTGTGTGACCCTGGGCAAGTCACTTAACCTCAATTGCCTTTAAAAAAAAAAGACTTTAAATGTCAAACAGGATTTCATATTTGCTCTAGGATGTAATAGAGAACTCTTTACATAGCAATACTAAATGTATATGCACCAAATATTATAGCATCTAGATGCTGGTATGGCATCGTGCTGTAGTTTTGGAATGGGATGACTGAGCATTGCATTGACTGGGTATAGATCTAGCCCTATATCAACTCTGTTTCCTTCTGTGGGTCTAGACTTCTTGGAGCTGTATCTTCTTCCTACCTTAGTAGGGAATAAATATTTATATAGTACCTACAATGTTCCAGTCACTGGGTTGACCTCTTTACAAATATTATTTCATTTGATCCTCACAACAACCCAAGAAGGTAGATGTATTATTATGCTCATTTTGCAGTAATAGCTAATAATAACAGCTACCATTTATATTGTGCTATGTGCCAGGTACTGTGCTAAGAACTGTTTAATTATTATCTCATTTTATAAACTTTTTATAATATGCACTTAATAAAAAGCAATAAAACCAGTATGTGGATATAATCAGTGGAGACATAACTATAGCAATACTATATGCCCTGAACAGATTCAGAGTACAACATACCACTAATTAGCATATGAATAAGAAAGTGATATCTAGTAAGTCAGTATCCCCTGAAAATAAAAGCACCAGGGACTTAAGTAAATTGCTTAATGCAATAAGAGTCCCAATCACAACCAAAATACATTTGTAGTACTATGAAATACAGTGGGTTGATCATTAGAGAGGAAATTCTCATAGATGGAAAAAATTCAGGAAATAGATAACATAGTTGGAAGAAATAATTTCAGTGAAGAAACTAAGAAACATTTTAAAATTGAAATCTGGAAAGAAGGCCCAGAAAAATAGAAAAACAAAAAATAG